AGCCAAAACTGTGCATTACCATGTATTTCTTACCACAAAAAACCACTTTTTTCCCCTCTAGATATTTTTAGGAAGTTTATTCTCTAATCTTGTCTATTTCGCAACTGTGTTTTATTTTGCCTGGAAGCTCTTTTCTCAGGTTTGCTTTCAGAGGCATATGATTCTAATTCAGGCCAATGCTTTCTGTATTAAGTGGAAAAGCAATGTTATACAAATATCATTCCCTTAAGGATCACTTCTCCTCTATTTCCCATTCTGTGTGGCTTTTCTTCAACTCTGTTATGCATAGGTGATCAATAATGAATCTATTCATTTTGGCCACCATCTGCTATTATTGCTTATTCTTTTGCAAACATCTGTCTTTTAAAATATTCAAACATACAACCAAACAATTAGCTTGCCTTGTATTTTTATGGCTGCCGAAGTACATTTGGTAAGGAAGGTGCATTGAATGAGAGGTTGTATTTTTAAAATGCACTAGTAATTTGTTACATCTTTTTGTGTAGAAGAAGTATGACACAAAACTGTTTGTAAAATGACCATTGAGAATATGTGGTGGCATTATAGTTACTAATTTGTTTTCATGCTTAGAATCCAGATACAAACCTCCTTTTCTAAAGGCGAAATACATTACTTTCAAAAAGAAAAAAAAAACAAAAAACCAAAACAACAAAACAAACCCCCAAAAACCCCAACCCACCAGATACTCATATTGTGGACAAAATGTAGAAAAAAATATTGCAGAAGACAATGGAAAGAAATTGGAAGAAAATACTGCAAAGACAAGAAAGAAATTCTTCACCCAGAGAAGCTGGGATGCCCCATCCCTGGCAATGTTCAAGGCCAGGTTGGACAGGGCCTTGAGCAACCTGGTCTGGTGGGAGGTGTCCCTGCCCCATGGCAGGGGTTTGGAACTGGATGATCGTAAAGTCCCTTCCAGCCAAAACCATTCTTTGATTCTGTGTTTTGTAAGAGGAGTATCTCAAAAAAGATGTTAGAAATAACGGCTCTAGTATCTTCTCTGTGACAATAATACCTTGATATGATTAATAAGAAATTTGTCATCCAAGGAATGCTGTCTCAGAACAGCATATTCAGGAAGCAGTAGTAAAAGATGTAGTATTTACATATACAAAGCTTAGATACGTGGAAAGAGCTTCCAAGGTGTACAGCAACGATACAGCTACAGGAGTTGAGCTAGTATGTTTCTTATATTATGTGAACACCATAATTACAGTTTATTCTCTTAACTTAAATTAAAGGAAACACAGAATGAATAGAAGTTCAGGTATAAGAATGTATTAGGTAGGTGGTCCACAAAATAAATTAAATGATATCTGCATGTTTTGAGATTTGCGTGGCAGAATACAAAACAGTGGCTTTTGATTGTCTGGAAAACACTTCAGAGGTATTTAAACCACTTTAGTAACAACACAACATACTTTACCTCAGTGTTAAAAAAATACTTGAGGTACAAATACATAGACAAAACTTTCAATTTCTGTGTAGTTAGCATTGGCAGTTCCTTTTGTTTAAAACAAAAGACCCATTTCTCTTTTTATCTTTCATATGCCAGCTCCTCTGCCAGTGAAAGTGAGGAAAATGTTGAATGACAAGTGCTAGCCTGAATTATTAGTTCCATAATCATACACTGGGAGTCAAGTTTGTTACACTTCATCTGAGTCTGTATTCAATTAGAAAAATAAGTAAGGAAGAATCCTGCCTTTGTATACCTAGGCTTGAGTTGCAAATTTGCATAACATTGCAGCTGCTCTTGATTTCAGTTAGGAAAGCTTTACCTCAGTACTTGCAATAGAAAACACATTGTTGGGATAATTATATTATTTTTGTACATAATTAGGGGAAGACTTGATTGAAGAAAAGGCACAAATTGCATTTAGTCAAATGCAATGGTAAATAGACTCATTATTTACAGCCTGTTGAGTTAAACTCCACGAATTACCACGTATTTATGAAAAGACATCACAGTTCAAAAAAGAAGACAACATGGGGTTTATAAGCATGTTTGATTGTTTCACAGCTACACTTTTTTCTGGTTTTTGTTTTCTAATGTGTCTCCTGTAGCTGTCATTAATACATTTTGCTTCTGTGAGTGCACACGCACTTTCTGTCTGTTTCCTACTGATGTGGTCATGTTGGACCAATGACAGTTCATGTGTAGGTGCTAAACTTCATTGTTGAAGTAACAGCACTGATTGAAAGCAAAGATATAGGTGCCTAGCATTTAAATAAATACAACAATATGTATGCATGTCTATCTTTTTGTCCTGTTACGGGTTTTCCCAATGATCCTCTCCAGAAATTACAAACCCAAAGAAACGCAAACAAAAGTCCAAACCAACAATGCCCCCCCCCCCCCCCCCAAAAAAAACAACCAAACAACAAACCAAACCAAAACCAACCAACCAAAAAAAACCCCAAACAAAACAAAACCCTCAAAACAAAACCCCAGACCTTTAATCTCTGGTATTATGCAGTAATTTCTATCCTCTTTAGTTGAAGTGCATCGTTCTTTTATAAAGTTTAGCTTGTCTTTTTATGTTTTTTTCACTTGATTTTTAGTTTGCTTTAATGTGATTCCTATTTCATCTGTTTCATTGGTACAGAGGTTGGGTATATAGTGATTAACAGTCTTGGATCTTTTTCTCATGATACTAAAAGGCTGTCTATGTAAGTGACCAAATAAACAGTTCATTCCTGTCTTTTCTTCTTGGATAAAACTGAGACATTCTCTCAGGGTGATTGTGATCCAGTATTTCATAAACCAAGCACAGCCTGAAGGAAAAGTAGATACCTGTCTTGTCTGAAACACAGCCATTTATCCATGTATTTTAATGTCGTAAAATCAGCAGTGCTGTTGAATGCAATGAATCTGTTCATCTCATCTCAAGTTAATTTCTATGTAACATGGTTTTGGGCCCAAATGAAACATGTCAATCATCTTTCTAGCTCTTAATTACGTAACTAATGCATACATGCCTTAGATTATTTCTACTAGATTGTTCTAAATTCTGAGTAGCCTTATACTGTTTTTCTGTATTGTCAATGCTGTGTGCTTTCAAAAAAGAAAGAAACATCATTTTACCATTAGGTTTCTTTTCAGTAAAGCCACTATTTTGTAGCTCCATTAATATTTACTCTAAAAAAAAATCTGGAAAAATACAGCATGATAGCACTGATTGTACTTCTATAAATTTTGGTCTGATGTGAGTCTGAGGTTGTAAGAATAATAGTTTGAAGGATGTGTGTGTTTTTTGTATTTTATAATCACTTCCAATATAATTTTAAAGAGAGGATTGTATCCAAGTTATAATATGTAGTGGTGTAACATTACCCACACACAAGAGGACACACTAAGTCCTCTGGAATATAATTATGAAAACCTTTTCAGTTAGGGTAAATAATATCTGCAAAGAAAATAATAAAAACACACCATGAATGTGGTGCTATGTATAATTTTTAATGTTTTGTATGAATTTGTGGATGTTCCGGAAAACCTAACTGATCTTACCTTAAAGTTGTTTTGGTTTAGTTACGTGAGGCTCTGTGGCTGAAGATTATCATTGTTGTTTAAGCTGGTTTAAACGAAAGAAAAATAAAGTAATCTAACATGCCATATTTTCTTTTCATACCATAGTGTGTTATAGTCAAAAGATTACAAATAAAGAGTTCCCATGGTGAAGTGAGGTTCCAGGATTCAAATAAAGACATTTATTGATCTGAAAAACTTTTAAAACTTATTGTTAACTTTTGGTAAAGTTCTTTCCTGTTCACATTAGAGATTTTATTTTGTATTCCCTCTCTGAAACAAGCACAATGCTTCTTCTCTTCCATCGCTAAAATTATGTATGGACTTTTTTTTTTTTTTTTTTTTGCAAGATATATTGGTGTTGCTTGAATAATTTTTGTCCTTGGATTTTTCTTAATTCATTACTGAAGTAACAATTAATTTAAGTTTTAAGGACCATTTCCTCTTTATCTTTTCTATACTATTTTAGTTTTTGTAATCTTGCTTCAGAGTTTTTTCAGAGTTATTGATGGGACTAAATAATTAGACTTTACTATTCATCTGGGTTTCTGTTCATCTCTGCTTTTCTCATCCCTCTCTTCCTAAGAACACATTTAGTGGCCTGATCTCCATTAAAAGCACTAGATACTGTCTGTGTAGATCTGTAATACCTTCTGAAAATATATAGTTTACAGAAGATGGCTTAAGATGCCTGTAAAAAGATTCTTAAGGAATTTTCTTTCAGAAAACAGTGAATGCAGCCAATATTGCTTTGGCATCTTCATTATTACAGACAATTAATATTTTTAAGTATCCCACACACTGTGAATGCTGTGTGGAAGATCTCCCTAATACTAGAGCAATACTAAAACTAAATTCTCTGTGGAAAATGAGCCAGCAACTTTAGAGGCAGTGGTGTAGTCTGACAGCTACTAACCGTATAATCTGTCTTGCAGATTTCTGTTTAACTTGACTCTGGAGCGGAAGAGTAATACTTTGTTCTCTTATCATTTTAGCTACATTCTAGACTTCTAGTAAAGATGTTTCATGGGAGTATATTTTCATAGACTTATCTTTAAAATGGTCTATTTCTGTTCTTCATTTGCTCCTTTTCATGTAGTGTTTAAGTTCAACAACAACAAGAAAAACAGCTCTGCAGAATATGAAAATGTATTATTAGAAAAGTCAGCTCTGTGGGATGCAGTATAATATAGAATACAATTGTATCTGCAAGACAGCTTAAAATCATTTTGCTTTTCTCTGTGCCCCTCTAAGAAGAGTCTGGCTGCATGTTCTATACGCACCCCTTTGGTTACTTGCATGTAGCAGATAATCTTTCCTAACTGTCTCATCGCAAGACTGACCAGGCCCTGTGCTGTCAGACTCTCCTCTTATATTTGTGTGCTTCCAGTCATGTTAGTGGCTCTCTGCTAGGCCTGTTGTGTCAATGAAATTGCTCTTTTTCAATGGAGTTAATATCAACTCAGTTTCTTTCCAGAGGATTAAGGTAAACTGAGTGAATTGTTAGGCATTTAGCTTATGACTATTTAGCAGAAAAAAAAATCATGCAGTAGAGGCTTGTTAAAAGTTGTTAAAATAATCTGATTGTTTTTTCTTACTGAATGACTGAGCTGTTAAATAATGAAGAAATAGTAGACGTTTTGCTTTGCCTCTGGAAGGACTGTAGTGTCCTGCATTAACTTTAATTTGCCTTTGAATTTATTTTTTATTTGTTTTTAATTTAAAACTCCACCAACCAAATTCTCAAAACCATCTTCAACATTCACCAGTGATATAATTTTTAACTCTGAGGTAATTTAAAATTTATTTCAACATACTTAAACGTAGTTGAGTCTGCCCAGATTTTGCTCAGTTTTTGTTAAATTTGGATATGGCCCCCTGCCTGGTCTAAGTCCATCCCAGTCTGAACTGCCTCCTGAAGGGCAGTCATCTTCTCTTCCCATCTGCCTGTTCATGCCTCTTTACTTTGTTTGTCCTCTGCAGTTGTGTAGCTTCATACAAAGGAAGACTGCACAGAAATCTGAGGAAAAAAAGACACATTTCATAGTGTCACATCCCAGGCTAAGATTAGTTTAGTTTTGTTGTGAATACACGTCCTCATGCGTGTTTTGCTAGCAGTAGTGGAGTGATTGGATGACCGCAATCTGGAGAGGTTGCAAGCACTTTGTAATTCAGTATGTAAGTGATTTTTAAAAATGAGTTTAAATCGCTAAGTTGAAATTCAGTTGCGGTTAAGTACAAAGTATTATGGAAAGAGAAATCCAGGTTGCAAATAAAAAATTGGGAAACATTCAGATAATTGTTTTGTAGCTGTAACAATATTGGCTCAGGTTTAATAGAACAAACACTAAGATTTGCTGAGGTTACAAAGAAACACCACTTCTAGCTTTAGCAATACAAGTATCTATTGTCTTTCTCACAGGGGCTCTGCTGCCCCTGTGGATCTGTTGAATGACCAGGCTGTGTAAGTGCTGTTAATTTATTATGAGCAAAATGAACTGTTTCATCTCAGAGCACAATTTAAACTTTATTTTAATAATCTGCCTATTCTGAACTGCTGTGTGGAGTGACTGGAGAGGTGGAAGGGGTGGGAAGCAAATCAGTGGTTTCACAGTATAGCTAGGTCCTCTGCACCCAAAACTTTAGGAACCATGAATTTAGAGAAGCTTAGAGGGGGAAAAATGTTTATAGGAAAGAATATGTAATTGCATATTATTAAAAACTGGTTCATGCTGACTAGTGAAACTGAACAATTCCCTTCTGCACAGGTATTTATAAAACAGTAAAAGAATGTTTTATACGCCTTGAGATGGCTTACCTCAAGAGAAAGAACTAGGATCTTCCACTGAGGACTTTTCCAGACAATATAATTAATCTGTCAGATATATGAGGAATGTATGCAATAGTGGAGACACAAGAATCAACCAGCCAACCAAAAAAATGTATACTTTGAGAATACTTGTAAGGAATCTAGAGTTTGGATGACATGGGTAATAAAGGCCAAATATGGTGAAAACTACACAGTTGGCTGATGAAAATACATTTTGATATGACTGAAGGGTAACCTACCAAAATTCTAGTTCACAGGACACATTTTAAATGGCTCCCTCCATTTGTGTTAAAATTATTGCTTTTAATGAGGATTGGGGGTGTATTTTGAGTAGTGCAAATATTTAGAATCATACTGTGGACTTCTAAATATTTTAAATTCAGCAAACTAGGTAAGAGGGTGCGCAGCTAATTTGAGCAAATACGAATAGGAGCGGGCAAGAGCTGAGAGCCCCATGCCTTTTCAGTATTGTGGAACCCTAGACAGTGAGGTAGCAGGAATGCTCTACTAATACCTAGCATTATTTTGTACAGCTAAATGTTCTCATACACAGCGTGCTGTCTTTAGTCTCTCTTTTAATTTGAAAGTTTAGAAAAGCTCTAAAGAGGACTATCTCAAATTATTTCAGACACCACATCACTTCACAGGAGGCAACTTCCAATGTAAGGCTTTAGTCAAGAAATCAAGTAATCATTTGTAACAGAAGTGTGCTTTGCACAGAAGACACAGCTTTTTGCTATCAATAATGAAATTGTCAAAATAAAGTACAAGAATACAAAGATACTTGCGTGAGTCCCCAATACCATCAGAATAGAATAGCATATCAGCTTCTTTGCTTTACAGTTCTGATGTTCTGTAGACTCCTTAAAAATATTTATTCCACTAAGAAGTTCTTCAGAGGTTCAGAAGCTGAGACATCTGAAAACAACCATTAAAATTCACTTACCAGTGATTGGAGATAGAGAGGCTACCTACGATTTTTGAAAGCTGAGATGTCTAAAGTTTGGGCGATTTGAGAGATTAAACAGACACAGCGTTACAACTGAATTAAAATTAGTATGTTCCTCTTGTCTGTTGCTCTGTTTGTAAACACAATCAGATGTGTCATCACCACTAAACAAATTTCTATTGTAGAAAATGAATGTCCACTCTGTGTGGGTTTTAGCCTTATTGGCATTTGTTTTCAGTTGTCTCTAAAAATCTCATGCATTTCATGTTTGGTATAATAATTTTGAAGTGGATTTGTATTTATAGAATTTATTTTTTTGATGATACTTCAGTTAATTGTGGAGGGTTTTTTATTTGGATTGAGTTCACTTGTATGGCACTATTTGTCACCTTTTAATCTGCCCTGTTGCTTAATGTTAAGTAAATGTGTTAAATAAAAGTTAAACTATTTACTTGCTTTTATAGGCATCTAGATATTTTCCAGTAGAAAGACTTCTGTTTTCTGTAAGATGCTGTTACCTCAAGTGTTAATGAGTTTCCAGCTATGAAAATGTCATTATATACCTTAAGTATTTAATTATAAATTTGAAAAATCTTCATGAGCAATCTCAAAGGAATATTTGGAACACACTCATAGTAAATTGGCTCGTTTTCTTGTAATTTACTAGAAGGGCTGATATGAGAGCATTTGTAATGTGGGAAGTACATTAAACTGTGCATTGTATATATTAAATGATTGCTTTAAAACTTTAAGACATTTGAGATAATTTAGGCTTACTCTTGTTGTTTAGGATCACAGTAGAGAAATGATCCCTTCCTTTGAGGTAATGCATTTGAAATAAATACTGCAACCGTTAAACAGTGCAGTAATAAATTAAACTAAATGTTGCATAACCATGTATCTGTTCTAAGAGATTATTGTGGTTGAAGAGAGTCAACAGGAGCCTTGTAGTAAACTTTGTTTCCTTCTGTTTTTAAAAGCTGTCCAGAAATACTTTCACTTGAGGTCTTCTCTGAAAAATAAAGCCAGTGGTTTTGACAGCAAACCTGGAGCAACTACCTTGATGTCATCCTTTGGAGACAAAATCATCCTTTGGCTGTACTGTTTTAAATAAAAGCAATCTTTAAATAACTTTTAGGTTATTAATAAGTTTTATTTTTTACTTTTCTTTTTAAAATCTATTTATATATTTATTAGTTTATAATTAAGTTTATTTACAAAAATTAAACTTCTTGTTATTATCTAAAAGTGCATTTCTGAAATGGTTGTGAAACAACTATGATTTTTTGTTTTTGTTTTTTTACTAGAATGTGAGAAGTGGAGGAACCGCAGTCCATTTCAATACTGTAATATTAATCAAAATCATTTTTAAAACTGGGAGACTGAATATCCTTGCTCTTTATGGAGACATCGTATGAAAGCAATGTCTAAGTCTTTGTAAAACTGTTGCCCAATAGACTAGAAAATGGAGTCACAGCTGGACCCCATGAAGGATGATTTGCCCTTAATGGCCAACACAAATTACATGCTTGTGAGGCATTATGTATTGGACTTGGATGTGGATTTTAAAAGTAAAGTTATACAAGGCATCATAGTTTTATTCTTTGAGACTGGGAGCCATTACCTGAAAACCAGCAGTAGTGGCAAAGAATGCTGTCAGTCACAGTTTGATGAAACCTGTAAAGTGAAGCCATGTGAACCCTGCTACATGCCTATGACAACTGTGAGTGCCTGTTCACCTAAACTGGAATATAATGATTTTGCTGTCTGTGGTAAAGGTGAAGAAGACACTTCTGATAAAAATGGTAACCATAGCAACGAGGCACAGGCTTCTGGGATTTCTAGTTCAAAGGACATCTGTGACATACAGAATCATGGGAACGAGGATTTTCTGCTGGTACTGGACTGCTGTGATTTATCTGTGCTGAAGGTTGAGGAGGTAGATGTTGCTGCTGTGTCAGGCATTGAAAAATTCACAAGGTCTGCCCAGCTAACAGATGTTTCAAAGGAGCTGGAAAATCTCAGTAATCAGATTGTACATGAACTTGTGACTTTACCTGCAGATCGCTGGAAGGAACAGCTGTACTATTTTACTCGCTGCAGCCAGGCACCTGGCTGTGGAGAGCTTCTGTTTACTACTGGCACTTGGAGCTTGGAGATAAGAAAATCAGGAGTTCAGACTCCAACAGACTTTCCTCATGCAATAAGAATATGGTACAAAACCAAACCAGAGGGAAGATCTGTTACATGGACTACAGACCAGAGTGGCAGGTATGTAACTATTAACTAAAAGCTTTGCACACAATGGTTTTAAACATAGGTGCAAGAATGTAGAATTATGTAATGCTGAGCAGCTGTGAAGATGATGAGCATCCTCTTCCACTGTTTTCATTTTCTTGTTTTGAATCCTGTTGCTGTAGAACAAACTCTGCTCAAGAAACCCTAACAGACTTGCAGACCTCAGGCCTGTCTAAGTGATTCGCATTTACTCATTCTGAACGAGAGTAAATAATTATATATTAGAGTAACTGTGTGCAGGTAATAAGGAATTACGACTTGGGGGAAGAGAAGGTATGCATGGCGGGGTGTTTTTGCTTTAATACTTTGTACTAGCACACACAACTGATCATACAACATTAAGATCAGTGTACATAATATTTAATAGGATTGCTTCACAAATAGCCTTATCAATATTGTAGTAAGTTTAGAAATGCGGTCTTTTTCTGTTAGTCTCTCATAATCAACTTCTAAAGTCTTTATTAACTGCAAACTGAAACTGCAGGAAGAATTTACAGTTTATCTAGCATTTGTACAGTGCTGTATCTTTAAGATAAGCTGTTTACAGGGGGATGTCCTATAAAGCAGTCCACTCTTGACTTCTACAACTGTAATTTTTTACTGTAATGTTCAAAGCTGGTTTTGAATGGCTGTTAGTTCCTTGTGATGTCTAAAAACCAGAAACAGATTTGGGAGATGAGGAAGAAATTGGTCTAATTGAGTACTTGCTTTTCATCTCCAAACTAGAGATACATGGTTACCTTTAATTTCAATTACGCTAATAGAAATTAAGGATCTTCTCACTGACATCCATGTTAGGGAGGGAAACAAGGCCTTTTAATTGTGTAACTGACAGTTAGGTAATTCTCCTACTAAACCGTGAGCATCATTAAAACCAGGAATGTACAGTTGTACACAAGCACATGAAATTTCATAAATGAATAATGAAGTAGGAAAAGATGGCTTGATGTGGGTCAGGTAGTCTGATGTTAGTGAATAGTCTCAAGCTGGTTTACGAGGCCTTGGGTGATATGATTTAGCGTAAGGTGTCCCTGCCCACGGCAGGGGGGTTGGAACTAGATGATCTTCAGGTCCTTTCCAACCCTAATTATTCTATGATTCTATGATTTTTAGTCTTTCGTAGAGTATTCCAGAAACTAATGCCTGTGAGAAAATAAGTTTTCATATCACAGTCATTAGAATCTTTCTTGCTACATTTTAAAAATCAAATTCTGTATGTGATGAACCCATAAATACAGTGGTGAAGCTCACTGTACAAAATGCTATCATATTTTTGCTTCCCTTTCTAAAAATAAAGTCCATTTATAACGTATGGAGGAAGTACTATTACATTATATTCTTATAGGGGAATTATTTAGATTTTTCCAATTTATGCGTATGGTGCTTTTTTAGGCAGATGTCAAATCCTTTCCCAGTGGAGTCTGTATGATTCTAAGCCCAAAGAAAAGTGAACTGAATAATGAAGTACAAACATTGTATGGCCACTTCCAATATGTTTCTTCTAATTTAACACTAATACAATGTTTTGAAATTTAACTTATGATCTATTTTATAAAGACTTACAATTTATTTGTTTTAAACAGTGATGTATTATAGTACACAAAAAAAAGAAGAAAGGTTACAACAGTGCTGTGTGGGGTGAGTTTAGTCAAGTTGAGGTATGTGTGTGCAAACCTGATGTTGGCATAGCAACACACAGTTCTGCTTTCACTGGAGGAACTGAACACATGGAATTTCAGTATTTCCTTTTTTGGGCTTTTGATACTAGAAAATATATTAATGATCAAGAAGAAAGGGTTTTTTTAGCCCTAGAACATGTTTTTTTGTAATAACATGCTTTTTAGAGCCTTTATGCCCAAGTAATAGAAAGGGGATGAAATGGAAGAATAGATTATATGGGTATATGTGGCTATGCACATGTAAATACGCATATATGTGTGAGCATACCCACTTTTTCTTGTGTGTCTCCAGAAGCTGCAAGGACTGTATCAGTTCTTAAAACTGGGAGGTAACTTCTAACAGTGCTCAATAACAGAATTATTTAAAAAAAAAAGTGTTGATTATAATGTTTGCAATATGTTTATCATGAACAAAGAGCAGTTCTGTTTCAGAGTTTTTCAGCTGTTTACTAGCACAACAATACAGCCCTGGGATTTCAAACTAAGAAGGTAATTTTAGCAAAATTACTTTTGCTTGAAATATTCTTAGTATTATAGAATTATTTAAAATAAAAACTTACTTTAGACACTGTAATAACCACTTTGTGGAGGGAATAATATGTATACAGCATCATTCATTACTTGGAAGGAGAAGCTTCTTCCCAGCCCATCAAGGTGTTGAATCAGTTTTTCCTAAGTCTGTGTAGCAGTATTAAGTCAGCATGGCTACTAGTGTATTTCAAATTAAATGCTTTCTCACGATCATAGTTAAGAATCCTGATTTGCTAAAATATCCAGGGATCCCATATTTTATTGTTTAAGAAAAGGATTAAACACATTTGAGTTAAAGAGGTGATTTCCCTCGCAAACAGCCTTGCAAATTCACTTCTAATAGGAAATTCCTCCAACGTTTTTTTTTGCCCTTCTTATTGCCACTCCTAGCACTGCCATAAATTAGTTAACAGTTTTGTTGACATTAATGCACAACTGGGATGGAACTCATTTTCTCGTGGTGGGATTAGGAATGAAAGAGTATCTTTGATATGAATGAAATCAGTGAAAAACACTCCATGACACTGAAACCTTTCAGTATAGTGTCCTAATCCTGCAAGATACCTGCTCATTATTTATCTTGGCATGCATGAATAGGTGCATGAATTGGTCAGGCACATGCATTTATTTTTTCAGGTTGAGCCCAATGTATCAGGCATACAGAAAATTAGAAATTCTGGAACGTAAAGGGGATGGGTTGGATTACTCCAAGTGTATGATTTTCATGAGAATTTATGGGAAAAGTACATTTTTAGAAGCTATTAAAGGATGATTGAGCAGTTTTGGGGGAAAGAGCTCTAGAAAGAGTTAACCATGTGCTAATTTTCAGAAGTGGGAAATATTGGAAAACATGAAATTACCTCCTTAAAAAATTATTATGAAATCTTGATATTTATTTAAACAATGTAAATGTCTTACCAATACAAAATATTTTGTACCTCTGTAACTGATAATCTTTATGATATCTTATTGTTATATTAAAATATCAGTTATTTTTTAAGAATTCAGAAGTGCCTTTATGAAAGCTATAAAGGTGATTACAACAAGCATAAATTTACAAGTTGGTGGAAGCGCTAATTCTAGCACATATTCTATAATTAAATGCTTGGACAAAAGAAGGCTCTGAGGAGACCTTATAACAGCCTTCTAGTACCTGTAGTATTCTACAACAAATCTGGAGGGGGACTTTTTACAGGGTCATGTAGTGACAGGACAAGGGGGAATGGCTTTAGACAGAAAGAGGGGGAATTCAGATCAGATATTGGGAACAAATTCTTTACTATGAGACTGGTGAGACACTGGCACAGGTTGCGCAGAGAAGTTGAGATGCTCCATCCCTGGAATTGTTCAAGGCCAGACTGGAAGGGGCTTTTAGCAACCTGGTCTGGTGGAAGGTGTCTCTGCCTGTGGCAGAGGGGTTGGAATTAGGTGATCTTTGAAGGTCCCTTCCAACTCTAACCATTCTATGATTCTATCTAAACGCTGCAAAAAAGTTTGCAAAAAAAGGTTTGTGTCCTTAGTGATTGATTAGTACTTAAGAGTGAAGAATAGCATTTGGCTACAATGAGCTAGCAATTTGCAATGCATATTGTCTGAGTACTGGCTACAAGTTATTCCCTAATCATACTCACATACCTGGGAATTTTAGACCATACTTAGAACATGTTTGCAGTAGACCTGCAAAAAAAGAGAGTAATTATACTGATTCCCAGGCTAGATCAAACAGTTGCTCCCTACTTAGTCTGGAGCCTTTCTGTTTACCCTCAAAGTTCAGCATAATGCTTTGGTTTTGTATTGTCTGTCTCCGAAGTTTATTAACATTATAGAGTCAACCACAGAGCTATTTTGCACTAATGAAAAGAGGGAAGGAGACGGAGCTAAAAGGAATGAGGAAGAAGCTTACCAAAGTACACTTGCTGAAAGAGATGCTTTTGACCTCTCCAAACTTGGATGTTGGTTCCCTTCACCACTGGTTACGATCACATAGGTGTGTGTACAGCTAGGTGATAAGGCGTATAAGGGAGCTAATATATCTGAAAATAAGCAGGCAGAGGAAGGGAATGTTATTTGGAGTTAACCGGAGTTATTTGGAATATGTTACTGCAGTTAATTTGGAAGATAACTGTTTCACTGATAGTACAAGTTTGTGCCAATGTAACCCTCTATCTGTAGCCCTTATGGAGTCTCAGGCATCCTTTCACTTTTCATATAATATATTTGATGTTTTCAAAGCAGATTTCTCCAGGGTGGAGATTGGAAAAATGAGTCAGTTTTAAACTGTAAAACAGAAAATATGTGATGAAAATGATTCTTTATTTTTCAGTGGCATGAGTTAGCATCATTATGTGCTCTTGGAATCTAGAAATGCAGGAAGGAAATAAAGAGCTTGTTCTTCTTCATGGACAAGGTTTGGGAGAATAAGGTGCTCCAGAATCCAGGCAAATCACAGACTAAATCCTAAATGGCTACCATCAACTGTGGGGGTATTTTCTGTGATTTTGCTCCCTATGATGGATATTTATATTTAATTAATGAAGCAGTCTGAATTGAAGTAATGCTTGATACAGTGATTTCTAACAAAGAACAAATGGTATCAGGAATAGAATGGAGAAGTAAAGTAAAAATTGACAAAAAAAAAAGTAGGCAGTTCTGAGTAGAAAATGAGCTGATTTGGTATTTCTGGAAATGTGGATGGCAATGAACAAATACTTCTAAAAAATTAAAAATAGCTCCTCTGAATTGGTTGTCCTGACAAAAAAGGAA